GTATTTGCGACGGAGGCCAAGAAGTAAGTACAGGGGCGCTCGTCGCAAGGGGAAAACTACATGGCGGGGACAGCCGCTGGCGGCAGCGACGCTCGACAGCGGTGGCGGCGGCGATCGGCGGCGATTGATGGCGGCGGCGGCAGGCGGGAATGTTCTAGTACGGGCGCGGCGTCGGATGCGTCGCGGGGCGCGTCCTGACATTACCCCCCCTCCCCCCGGGAGACGTCGTCCGCGGCGTCGGCGCAGACAATCAAAACACGGTAGCCACGTAGACATGGCTGGGATCCAGGCAACAGCGGTTGCTTCAGAGTCGCCAAAGGCAAGTGCGGTAGCAACGGCCGCTCAAGGCCGGCGCGCGTTGTGCGTCTGATGCGAACTCGGTTGGCATTGTTGGTGACCACCACTTCCCGTTCGCCCAACGACAGTACGTCTGATCAACGACAGTACAGCACAATTCACCGTAACCTCCACCGATCGATGCCGAAGATGTCGAGTTCGCGCCGTGCTGTTGCTCAAGACGCTGAGAGGTCTATCATGGCTTCCGTGGATCGCTTTGCTGCAAAAGTGTCGCGCCGGGGCAAGACCTGGGAGTGGGTCGCCGAGAACAAAGAGCAAGGTTTCAAGGGTTATGAGGACTCAAAGGGCCGACAATTGGTAGCGAAGGCGGTGAGTGCCGGTTGCGGTCGTTGCAATTGCAATTGCTGACACGGCGATTCAGAAGGATTACCTTAGGCTGTTGTCGTATTGCGTCGCCAGTAAAGTGCAGTGCGAGCCGTGTGCTGCGGCGAAGGTCACCTGCTGGCAACCGATCCGGGGGACGTTGGCCGAATACAACCACGCGTTGTGCCTCAGTTGCCACCGATCGAAGCGGCCCTGTGTGACAAAGAAGAACGGCAAGCTGTTTTCGACACCTTTTGATATCAACATCGGCGAGACGGAGGCCATCGTAATGAAGTGAGTGGGCCGGCAATTATGCGTGGGACCGGCGCTGATATAGCGCAACAGTTCTCGTACCAAATTCAACAGGTGGAGGATGGCGTTTGCTCCTGTCGTCGACATGGATGTCGGTGACTTGTCGTTGGAACTCGAACTTGCGCCGGCACAGAGCAGCACACCGCCGC